AGGGTATTTTTATAGATGCGTATTTAATACAAACCAGTGTTGTATACAATACATAGTACATACATACAATGTACGTTCGATAACATATAATACACATCTAATGTGTTGTGTGTAGATACATTTGGGTATATTATGGGTATGTGTATGTATGTGTGGTTGTATTGTTTCGGAATGCCAGTGTCGTCATTAATGGAAAATACCACTACGTTATCTTTAGGCCGTTTAAATCTTGATAAATTAAAGCTACAGATGTTTTTTTAATTAACATAATTTATTCACAAGCTCTGTAACTGGCTAAAGCTTGCTTAGGACCCGCCTACGTGTTTGTTTTGTTTACATTCATTTAAAGTCCGCTAAAAGTGCAGTTAGGTTGTAAATTGTGGAAAAAAGGTTGGGCTTAAGTTCTGCTGGTGGCATATTTCTAAGTGTTTTGATTGGATTATTTATCTATCAATAAATAATTTAATCCATGAAAAAGAACAAAAATGAAGCATTTGATAATGTTTTTATTTTTCACCAGTAAAAATAGTTAGTTATCTCATGATCGATAGAAGGTCTTCATGATATAGAAGCACACCTTATGGCTTATGCAATAAATTAGAGAAAAAAAATTGAAATCAGTTAATCTCTTTGATTATCAATAATTGGTTCATCCGTTCATTCATTCATCTGATGATCTGAATGCCAATTTATTGTTTGTTCATTCATTTGTTCGTTCATTCACCATTCATTCATTCATTCTTTTTAAATTCCATTCATTCATTCAATCATTCATTCATCGATCGTTCATTCACTTGTCTTTTATTTTCATTCGTTTTAGTATAACATTAAATCATCAAGTAATCTATTTGTCTACTAGTTCATTCATTCATTCACTCACTCATTTAACAATTCATCCATTATTCTACCATAGAAGAGATTAATTGTGGCAAGTGAAGACATGAAGGATCCGAAAAATGGAATAGAGAGTTCAAGTTAAGATGGACGCTTGATTCCGACCGAACGTCATCGAATGAAGCAACGCATGGATGATGCTGCTGCTGAGTTTTTAAAAACATGGTGCGAAAGATTTTAATGAGAAAATTAAAGTTAAAAATGTTTTATAACCTAGCCAACCAACCGACCGACCATTCAACCAACCAACCACGAGGTGGCCAGTCAATTAAACAGTTAGAAATTGAACGAACGCTAAACCAGCAGTTGACCATCGACCCTGCCCGCCAGCCAGTCAACATAGCAACAATACAACAAAACCAGCAGACAGCACGACAGCAAAACATGCGAACTCATCCTATGATACATGCACAAACCAATCAAAAACCCAACCATATAACACAAAAACGCACTGAAACCAGCATCATACAATTTGTACAGGCAAGCATACAGAGGATGGCCCCAATATAGATAAACCGCATAAATAGCGTAGACGTAGAGAAGCACTGCGAAAATATGCACAGCGAGGTTGTTCCTCCTGCCGAATCTTATCCTCAGCCAAGCCAAAAAGTAAAAAATGGCCTCAACTATCGCGAACCTCTTCAAGCCGACCAAACAAATTGAACTGACGGCCACTAGCAGGAAGACAGCTAACGTTTTTACATTGTAGTGCGCATAGAAGTTTTCCATAAACCTTCGTAAGCTACTCACTAAGGAGTCTAGTCTCGAATGCAAGGATTCTAGAATCATTTCTCTGAGCTATTTCTTTTGCCTTTGTTTAAAATCTTTACAATTTTCAAAATTTTCCCCGAATCTTACTTTCTTCTCTTTAAGGTTTCGGTCAGTTTGTTGAAGACTGTGTATAGCAGGATTGAAACTCTACACTTCTGACAACTTCTGATTGACGTCTGAGAGATTGCCGCCAGTGCCAAACTATCTTGGTGTAAGAAGAAATCATATTCAAATCAAATTTATAAAAATTTGAAAAATTACATTAAAATCTAATTTATTTATAAATCTTTCTAAATGCGTCTACTTCACAGAATAAATATACTTCACATAGCAGTGCAAATATATCTTTACCAACTATTAGTAATTATTATTTAAACATTTGGCAAACGTGAAGAGATTTCTCTTAAAAACGTGGGGCCAGAGAGGGCAAAATGATGATACCCTCCACCCCCTTTTTAAACTAATCTTGGGTAAATGAGCGGCACTGCCTTCTATCATTACCGAAAATGATCAACATCACAGCTAACCTCATTAACTAATTACAACGTTCAAGTTGTTGAATCACACAAATGCAAATTACAAAGAACAGTTAAGAATTTAATAAATTAAAAACTAATTTATAATTAATTATTCATTAAAAATTTGTTAAAGATTACGAACTCGAGACGGAATAAAACCTTACAAGATCTATTTTCGATTATTTTATTAAAAATATTTCCTTAATTACAAATAAAAGAAAATAAAATAAAAATTTAATAAGATTTATTTAAAATCTACAAACTAATTAAACGTATGTTGTCAACGTATATTGTTGAGACTGATTAATATTATCTAT